CAGAAGCCTAGCTGTCTGCCCTCCATGCCTCTTTCTCTGTGTCTTCCCTTTGAGAATGTCCCTGCTCCAAGGCTTTCTCACCTCAGCCAAACTGCCCTGGGTCCAGAGGGCTGGGATGACAAATGGGGATCCTACTCAGGGGACAATTTCCTTTTGAAACAAATGAATTTTAAGGGAAGAATTTTAGACATACTGTTAGCACTACCAGCATTTAAGACTTAGCAGGCAGGCAGGGAGCACCGTGATGTCACAGATGTGCTGCATGAATAAATATGTGCTTCTCAGACAAGAGTCACCTCCCCTCCTGGTCCATGATATTAGAGTGTACACATCTATTAACGAATCTTACTGTAATGGAAAGGCACTTTGAAAATCACATTGGATCACTATCTGGTTACTTTGATTACTATAAAATGTCAAGTAAATTAACCTAGGATTTCTTGTCCAGAGCCGGAGTACAAACTATTTTCAAGTAAAAAATATCTAGTTCTCCTTCCCTGAATCCTCTAAAAGAAGTGAGTAAATTCAAGTAGAAAAAAAGAGAGAACAGCCTATACCATAAGCTATTTCTTAAACCCCTAAATTCTCTATATCCCTGCTAATGAAAAAATTAGCGCCTTATGTATGAGAGCTGATGTTGGTTCGTTCTCATTATTAGTGAGGTAATTATTTGCTTGGCACGAGAAGAAAAGGCCAATATATTCTATCAGGGAAGAGCTAGTTTTTCAGGCAGACAACAGTAGTCTGAACATTGGGACAGAATTTAAATCAGCCACCAAATGAGCTAGTCTTGCACAAAGATTAGTTTGAAAACTTTGCCATTGGGAGAGAATACCAAAATGGTCGTTCACCATAAATACCAAGCAGAGAGAAGTTGGCCATGTGTGGTACTCAATTCCTCAGGATAATTTGGAAAGGGAAAGTGGAGGCAGAGTTTCTCAGGAACCTTCCAGAATGACTGTTCAGAGACAAATGAGGATGAGAGGAAGAAAAAGACCAAAGCTTACACTATGCTGCATTGTCCTCCACACAGTCCTCTGGGAAGCAAGAGGAAAACAAATTTAAAGGAAAAAGAAAAAGAGATTATTCTACACACACAATAGCACAGCACAGTACAAAGGTTAGCTTTGCAGGTTGGTATCCTACCCACCCCACCCCCAATACCCTCAAAGTGACCAGCAGAATATCTGAGAAGTCAACACCATCAGAACAAATGTATTGGTCTAAATCACTGCCAACTTGATGAGTTAACTTTCACATGTGGCTTTTTAAAAGCCAGTTTACTTTTGTAAACTATATTCCTCTAAGGCATTTAAAACACCTTTTTAGCCTTAATGAAAGAGCTAGAGTAAAGTAAGAGACAGCCCCTGCCCAACTATGTTCGTTGTGCTCTAATTTTCTGAGCTGTACAACAAATTGCCTTTCAGAGATGATAATTCAAAACCTCTGGATGCTCAGATCTTAAAATGGAGCTACTTTGTGCTGATTTATTTTTACATTTGGTACTTGCCATGAATTGGATCTTTCTTTAAAAAAATGTTTTATACCAAATTATTTAAGAGAACTCACAGAGTGTAAATTTGAGAGAAACGGAAGAGAACCAACCTCTTCCCGAATGCAAACAATCACATCTGAAAATCTTTCATCTTCAGCTGGGACAGAGTGCTGCTAAAGTAAATGTTGGTAACGAGAGAAAGAGACAAAGCTAGCCCCAACTGTTAACAGAATTAGTCTATGACATTCACTGATTCCTTGACAGATCACGACTGTTGGCATGAAGGACTGCTATATTTTCAGGTGAGCTGGCTTTCCACCAGCAGCTGAATTTATACAAATACATTCATTCATTCTTAGATAATAAAAATCAGTTTAGGATAATGTGTTTGAAAGCTGCTGTCTACCTCATCTGTGTGTTAGGCCCATATAACTTTCCAGGGACAAATGGAAATGTTTCCTAGGGATATAACAGAATTTATAAGTTCCTTACAAGTGTAATAAGATGTTAAATAGTGGAACTGGTATATTTAAAATAATATTTTCAGTTCTTTTATATAAGTTTTAGTAGCAGTTTGGGTTAGGGAGTTTTATTTCTAAAACAAATCCCTTAATTACTAGTTCACATAAAAATAGCCATACAGAAATTGATAGAAGAGCATTTACCAACATATCCTGAAGTTAGTACCATGGGTACTAATTTAAATGGTACTAAGAGGTAACACACTATGACCCTTATAGCTATTTTCACTTAGAGAAAAGGGGTGGAGTGATTGGAGAATCTTTTGCTGCTGGCCTTTGAAGCATTTTCTTTGGTAAAACAGAAAAATTAAGGGAAATCTTTTCCAATTATCCTCCTTTTCTGGGACACATGCTTCTTGTAAATATTCAGGAAACACCTTTTCAGGGGAAAATTAAAACAGGAGTAGGTAACATGAGCCTTGTTTATAAACAGTTGCATGGGACTGTAATGGGTAACAGATCCCTCTGGATAGCTCACTGGTGCTGCTTCCGGAAGCGAATCATGTCTGAATGCAGCTCAGTCCCATTTCACCACTGTTCAGAACTATCTCAAGCCCATAAAGGGAAGCAGGCTTCAGGGGAGCCAGGGGCTGCAAATGGAGACTCTGATACTAGCTTCGGGGCCAGCTCTTGTTTCTTAAGGATCACTGCGGTACATCTCTGATATGGAGAGAACCTCTCTCTCTTAGGAGCCCAGGAAAGTAGACTCAGTGGGGCTTAGACTGGCTGTGAATTACAAGTTGCCAATTCTTAGAATTTGGGAGGAAATTAGAATGTAATTGAATAAAAATCAGGACAACAGTCACTCTCACACAGCCTGAAGTCACACGTATGAGGAAGGAAATATTATGCGCTAGTTTGGAATAGAGTTGACTTGCTGCTTGAATACCTATGTGCTGAGAGTGGTGCTTATGATCAGATGATCAGCCATTACCCAATATTTTTAGAAAAAATAGATCAAAATATCTATTTTAAGGGTTCCTAAAATGAAAGATACTCAGTCGTTTGCCTTTTGCCAGTACTCTTCCAGGTCCTTTTTGGGGGTGTATTTTGAAGATTACCAATTAAGGTCCTGTATAGGACATTCAAATTCTAGTTTTCATCTGTTATATTTTCAAACATTATATAAAATTTTCAAAGTGTATTTTACCTAGGTGATGTTAAACTGAGTAAATATTGTGTCTTGGGAAATATATTTTTCTCGTTCTACTTCCCTTGCTTAAGGATGGGTATTTATTTCTCTTGGGGAAAACAGTAAACTGTACTTTTTTGTTTCAAAGGGAAAGAATTAATTAGTTGTCATAGGTATCATTATATGCAAATTCAATGAAATTTAAACTAAATACATGATGCACCCTGGTTCTTTTCTTAAAGTTTGTTTTATTATAATAATAACACAACATGAGATCTACTCACAGTTTTTAAGTGTATAATACAGTATTTTTATGTATAGGTACAATGCTTAGATGAGTTCTCTAAAATTTATTCATCCTACATTTTTTTCCAGTTATTAGATTGAATTTTGCAAAACCTTAAAAGGTCTAAACTCTTCTAAATATTAAATCAGAGCTAACTAAAATGGAGGGGTATGGGAACAAACCTAAATTCACCATATATGCTTCTAGTTAGAAAGATACACAAACCAATTTCTAAAGTAGAACCCAAACAGTGGAACCTAAAGAAAAACATCATTCTTTAAAACAGCTGGCTAGTTGGTTGGCAGAATCTAATTAGTTGTTTAGAAGAAAAATGGTGACTAATTAATTTAAACTTTTTCTGAAATGGATAGAAAACAGATATAAGCAAGGCAAAGTAGAACATTGATGCAATTATAATTTGATACATTTTCCAAATGCTGCACTGGAGAGATTTTATTTACTAATAAATGGTACTACATTTATAACATAATTTAGCAGTTAACTATTACAGTTACCCCTTTATATTGAGACTTCATGGATAGACTTCATGTCATAAGTACATTTGATTTTTTTACAGAGAGAAATTCTGAGATGTACTTACATTGAGGCCAAATGCAGCTAGTTTAACTAGTTCTACACTGTAGGAAGATATTAACTAAATCATAAAGTCCTTTATAGCAGTGACTAATACAAGTATTTTCATAACCAGCAACCTTTGAGATCTGAGCTTATATGACACAATCAGATATGGTTCAAATATTTTATGACCTTAAGATTTTAAACCCATTAATTTTACATCAAGATAATTGCCAAAGCAATATTAGCAACACTAACAGTTACAGGTATATAAATTGTTTATAATACTATAAATTAAAGAAATTGAATTAAATGTAATCAGGCAGTATTTCTTTGAAATATGAGCTTTTAATTTCTTATGCCAAATTTGGTTTTTAAAGCACATTTGAAAAATCATGTTTACTATGTTATGGTTGTATTTTCTGGTAAATTATTCTGATGATAGGTATGTTCAGTCCCTGACACACATTTAAATGGCTCAAAGAGTGATTATTTCTGAGCATTCTAACTTTTCAAAGACATATAAAGAAGAAAAAATTGTAGTAACTTTGAGAATTCTTCATAGGGACTTTCCATTAGGAAACTTTGCATATAAAAAGTCATAATAAAGTAACATTATAATTGAATAAATAATCATGCTTAAAAAAGAACTGAAGTAGATGAATAAGAAATATGCTATTGTAATTATATCTTTGGAAGAAATGGCAACTCAGTTTTCCAATTAATATTTCAGAAGAAATATGTACTTGAAAATTTGGTCACTGTGCCAGTTGATTAATAGTTATAAGATTCCTTAAATAATCTAATTCTGCCCTAAAAGAAAGATCTTATTACTTTTCAATATTCTAATTAAGAACAGGAGAAGATATAAGAATGAGATGAATTTTCAACCAACATTTTTAGAATCCTATGACCTGTTTTGAAGAATAAATGACCTTGGCAACAGAAGGCGCCCACCCCCCTCGGAGTCATCAATTCGAGAGTACTCACCAGCCGGTCCAAGCTCGTGCCTGCAGCCGTTGTGGGTCTTTCCTCAGGATTGTAGGGCCTAAAACGTGTGTTAAAATTCTCAGGAGCTGAGCGGGCAGATCTGAGACCAGGGGCAGGTTTGGGCTGGCCACATCCCTGGAAGACCTGGCAGAACAATTGAAAGGTTCAGAAAGTTACATGATGAATCTCCTCTTAAAGTCATGATGGAGAAGGGTACAATACAATGATTTTCACATTTTTCATGAAATTCTTACCTCCAATAATACTCTAACTTTGATACTTCAATACACGCAACCACTAATGCAATGGAAAGATCAACTATATGTCCTGACTCTCAGTTTTACCATATATAGTAAATCTTCATTACTGGCAGGTTTTGTGTTTGTGAACTTACCTACTCCCCAAACCAATACTCATCGTATTTTCATAGACACAGGCAATGTGGCAGCAAAGTTCAGCAGTCCTTGGAACATGTTCCAACTGATGTTGAACACAGTGATGCTCTGTCTACTAATTGCAGCTCTCATACTACAGTATAAACAAGTGTCCTTTTGGTGGTCTATTTATTTTATTTTTTTTCTGGTACCAGGAATCAAACTCATGACCTCGCACTTGTCAGGCACGCCCTGTGCCATTAAGCTAAAGTCCCAGCCCCTTGGTGGTCTATTTAATACCACATGTTTATTCTTTTTCTTGTTGGGAGCAGCTGGAGCTGGAAATTGGTCATATGTGTGAGGGTAGGACAGGGCCAGAGTACCTCAAGTAGTCAAGCTATCTCAGTCCTGAGAAAAGCAACCTGTCTTGACAATATAGTCATTAGTTGCTAGTCAACATTATCTCTAGGGACACTAACTTTGCAAGAGGATAAATAAATGCCCCTACTGCTGATGTTAGGTCCTCTTGCCCATCAGGTAAAAGGTCACCTCTACCTGACCCAGCTCTTATCTCTTGTTTTTATTTTTCATGCCCATGGGTATTCCTCCCCCGGGATACAATGAGAGACCAACGAAGTTCCCTACATTTTCTTAGTGATACTACTGTAGACATGGCTCCCCAGCATAGGCCTGAACTACTTCCCACTGTTTCTGAGCACAACAATGTGCTGTGCTTTATGGAAAAAAAAAAAAAGTGTGTTGCATAAACATACATAAAGGTGTCTTTGTGGCAAAACACCCGTAGAACAAGGTTATGTTCTGATTGGCTGATCATAATATTGGGACCAGTGGCTCCTAGGAGTCTAATCCTATGTTCCCCATAAGAATCATGGGTCAGTGTTTGATAACTCTGTTTGCATTATGACATGTAATGACAACAATGAGAATTGGCTATATTAAAAATGAGGACTGTAGAGTTGGGCATAATGGTGCACACTTATAATCCCAGCCCTGAGGAGACTGAGTCAGGTGAGACAGAGGTAAGAAGGTCTCCGATTTGAGGCCAGTTTGAGCTACATAGCAAGACCCTGCCTCAAAAACAAAAAAGTGAGGATTACAGTAATTAATTCACAGGAAAAGTGAGGATTTTAATAGTTAATTCATAGGATGATTTCAGTATTAAACAAACTGTGCCCCAGTCTTTTTGAGGTACTTACATTTGGCATTCAATAAGCATCCACGCGGGATCCATGTTGACAGGACAAGTGTATTTTATGTATAACACATTAGGCCAAATAATTCATGTGCCGCCTCGTGAATAGAGAAAACCTTGTACTGGAAATATTCTTTGAAAACCCTCTCCTGAGCAACAATGTGGAAATAGGACAAGCAAATGTGGATGAAATCTATATAATGACAAGTTCTTCTAATTTTGTTGTTGACAGCTGTTCATGTCACAATTAGGATAGCTGTGGGAAATCAAACATTTTATTATAATAAACTTAGGGACTGAGCTGACTTTTTTTTCCCAAAGGGGCTTCATTCAAAGTGGTGTGGGAGCACCTCCTTTACTGTCATTACAGGCTTTCTACTCTGTGTCACTTATAAAAAGAGAACATCCTACCTAGATTTACAGAAAATACAGTAATATTTTGAGAACATCTTTCTTACATTTGTACAGGGATGATTCTTCTACAGGCTTTTTTTTCTTTCCAGAAAACTCTTCAGGACTATTTATGTGAGCTAATTCTGAACTTGCATGTGTATATTTACAGTGCATTTGCTCTGGTTTTGTTATTTGATTCTTTGTTGTTTAACTGTAAGAGAGGCTTTTCCCAAGAGGCACAGTACGTGATCCCACAGCAGTATGCAGGGAGGCCTTGAGTGCCATTCCCAAAGACAAGTTCCATCTTGAGACACAATTCATTTTGCTTTGCCACTACAGCTAATTTCTCTTTTGTGCATTCAAAAGTTCTCCTTCAACTCAGCATTTTGCAGAGCAGGAGCACTTTGTCTTGGCATTCCTGAGATTGCTCTTAACACACTATTGATTATTCTTCCCTCTCACAATTTCTGAAGTTGATGGTGTAAACCAGTGTGATAAAGATGGTGGGTCCTTTTCTCCCTAGTGCCTAAATCATTTCCCAGTGGCAAGGTCACTGTTGATGGAGGGCATTAACATTTCCAAAGCTCCAGGGATCTGTTGAGTGTGCTATTTGGACTGCTTTGAAAATGACAGCTGACTTTTACAAAGCCTAAAGCCCAAGGCAAAACAATGGTAATAGAAATCTTGGTGAGATTTCATGAAGGCAGGCTCTGATAGAGTTAACAGGACCTCTTAATCTGCATTTTGGGGAGAATCTCGATTTCTGGGTTAAAGTGTAATCAGAGGAATATGGAATGCCCTAAAAGAATACTGATTTTCTGGGAAGATATTTCATTTTAACAGAAAAAGTTAAAACTCTCATTTTTGTTGCTGTTTGCTTTAAAGAGTGTTAATTAGAACAGAATAGGGGTTAGTAACTTACCCCAGTGGCTTTCTATTATCTAGTTTGGATTTTGAGGATTGCTTCAGAGATTGCTGGGTCTACAATCCAAACCAAAGAAAATACCGACCTATAATTATTTTGGAAACAGTGCCTAGCCCCATAATCAGGTGGAAATCCACATAAAAATTTGCCACAATACTGTCTTATCTTGAAAGTCCCTTAACAGAGATAATGAGACAGTTGGAGGCCACCCAAAAGGGGACAGAATGATTAAATGCAGGGAAGGGGCCCTGCAGGGGTTATTCCTGCTTTATGCTTTCACAGCAGAACAAAACAAGGACATAAATGGAGACTCAGGGCTCACATGCAGACCCAGAATTAAAAACACAGCAGCTATAAACTACAGATGCATGTGTCACACATAGATATAACAGATGCATGTGTCAGACTCCTGCAATCCTGTCTTTAGTCAGAGCTGACCACGGAGCTGCCTGCAGCTGAATCCAGACACTGACCACCAACACTGTTATAGGCAACTGAGTAGATAGAAATATTATAGGCAGTCACCCAGGGCTGGGCCCTTGAGGGGACCCCTATGGAAGACAAGATACCTTGCAGCTGTGGGCCAGACCTCAAGAGAAAAGATTAAACAAATGCACGCACATACCTCCCTAGGGGTGAACATCAGGGATTGATATTCTAAGTAGGTTGCAATCACCTTGAAAAAGGCAGGAAAAGTCACTATCCCAGGAAAGGAAGGGCCCTTGTTCTGTATTCATGTCCACTTGCCTGACTGGCTTCCCCATTTGATACCGATTTAATCAACTTTACCTGAGCAGTTATACTCATAATCTGACTGGCTGACAATAGTTTTGTCCCACCTCATGCCCACCTTGCGATTTCCCATGTTTCCTACCTTGGACCCACCTCACCTCATGGTTTTGCTCTATGAAAGTGCTTAGAGAAGACAGGTTCTTTGGCAACCTTCTCAGGTCCCCTTCTGTCCCTTTCTCTCACAGAAGCTTTCTTTCCCTCAATAAATATATTCTGCTGTTAACCTCTGTTGTTCCTAAAATTTATTCTTTTGTTTTAAAGAACAAGAACTCATCCCAGATATCTTTGAGGTTGGGAGTTTCTTTCCCCTATGTCAGGTCTGGGCATTCTGCAAGTTTGGATCCCTTATTTTACATGGAGGACTTGGATGGGAATTTGGGGCAGAGACTTTTCCTGTATTAACCACCCCCTTTCCTTTGGGAGGTCACTGGCCTGACTTGCTCTTGGTTTGAGCTGTGTCTCCCTTCTTGTTCGTGCAGAATTCCCATTAAAGGTTCACTTGAGCCTGCATTTCTCTGAATCTGGTCTTCTTTCTACCACTTCTGGACCCAAGAACCCAGATCTAGTAACCATTTCTAACATAACCCTTAGAAAGACAGAATTGTTATAAGAAGAACCCTTTAGTGTGGAAGTTCTCGGCTTAGTGATTAAGAGCTATTTTTTCTTTCAGAAGTCTACAAAACCTAATGGAAACAGGTGCAAAGACACACTACAGCATCAATTTACCCTACTTTTGCTTGGCAATGATTAATCACCCCCTTTTCAGTCCCGTAAGGAGAAGAAATTTTAATCAACATATATTATATAACTTAGATAACTTACAAAGTGAACACTAACAATTTCATGCTTAATGCATGGTCTAAATATTTGTGTCTTCCACAAATTCCTAAAGTGAAATTGCCAGTATGACACAATGAGGGGGTGGGATATTTGAGAAGTGAGAGAATCTGTCTTCATGATTAGGATTAGTGCTCGTGTGAGAGGTACACTCTCATTTCAGAATCACCCAGTTTATGGTATTTTGTCGTATGAGCTTGAATAGACTAACAGTATCCAAGAAAAATATTTTAAACATGTTAACTAGAAAAAAAACACACATATGTTGTGACTCTTTAAAAGAGAGGATGCTATTTGTGTTTTCTCAAATTGTTTGGTAACAGTTTCCCCAGGAGGTTCTCCCCAGAACGGTGCCCCAGAAAACACCACCTGAGATACGGCCACCAAGGTAGTTGTCACCTGCCAAAGGGAGAAGAGACTTATGTAGAACTGCATCCATTCAGATGCATTTGTGCCAACACTTTAACCTCTTCCATCTTTAATTTGACAGACTACTATTTTGTTCACTAAATGCTTTCTCTTTACATCAGAAAAGAGATTTCTAGGAGATGTAGCTATGGGTTAAGCCACCTTATCGTGGAACAAAGCATTAGCTCTATCCCTTTAAAAA